CTCTCTCTCTTCTCGCCGTTCTTTCTAATCCCCTGGCCGCCATCCTCCACCACCAATCATCATCATCATCATCTTCTTCTCCTTCTTAGTGCCACCTTCTTCTTCTTCTTCTTCACGTATCCCACATACATCCCCCATATCCCACCTTGTTTTTTTTTTTTGTTTTTTTGTTTTTTTTGTCGGTCCACACTCTCCTTCTTCTCGCCGTTCTTTCTAATCCCCTGGCCGCCATCCTCCACCGCCAATCATCATCATCATCATCTTCTTCTCCTTCTTAGTGCCACCTTCTTCTTCTTCTTCTTCTTCTTCTTCTTCTTCTTCTTCTTCTTCACGTATCCCACATACATCCCCCATATCCCACCTTGTTTGTTTTGTTTTTTTTTTGTCGGTCCACTCTCCTTCTTCTCGCCCACCTGACGAATCGTCATCATCATCATCATCTTCTTCTCCTTCTTAGTGCCACCTCTTCTTCTTCTTCTTCTTCTTAACGTATCCCATAGACATCCACCATATCCCACCTTGTTTTTTTTTTTTTTTTTGAAGGCTTGAAAGGGGGGCCAGAGGGGGGTGCGTTCGGTGTTTGTAAGCGAGTGCTTCCAAACGTTGCTGTTAAATGGCGGGGGGCGGCGGCAGTGGCGTTGCAGCAGGTGGTGGCAGTGGCGCATCCGGAAGGAGGAAAACTCCTTCAGGATCGACGGACAAAGGAAAGGCCAGTGCCAGTGCCAATGCTTCCGCATATGGGGTGACTGCAAAGGATCCCACGCCGGCGTCAGACCCCTCTCTGTTCGTTCCTCAGGATGAGACGAGGCAACAACAACTGCAGCGCACCCGGGACGTGTGGAAATACGTTATACAGGGTCAAGAAGCCCTGCCGAAGGGTCGAGGAGAGTATTGGCTGAAGTGCCGATTATGCACGCAGATTTGGAGGGGCACGAGCACAAAGGCAGTGGAACACTTTTTGAAGTTGTTGAAGCCGTGTCCCTTGAGGACAGGTGAGATGGTGCACAAGCTCGTGGTCGTCGGTGCGAAGGTGCTGCCCAGCGACAAAAAGATGCAGTACCTCCTGAAGAACTATAGGCAGTTGCATGGCATTGCGGAAGGGGGGGCGATTGCGATGGAGACTCAAGACGTGGAGCCGCTCATTTCCGGGTACGAGGAGCCGCAACCACCAACCACTGCGGGGATGGCACCACCGAAAACAGCTTCCCGAACAGAGCCGGTCGCCGCTGCAGACGAGGGCCTTGTGGAGGGTTCAGCGTCAAACACGAGGGTTGCATCATTGCAACAGAGATCAATCAGGAGATGGGTGGACAACGATGCACAGAAGAAGCTGGATATTGCATGGGCGGAGGCGATGATCCGTGCTGGCATTGCGTTTAACTTCCTGAACTTTGACGCGACGCAGAAGCTCCACGAGGTTTACTTGGAAGTGGCGAATGCGCGACCGAAGGTCAAGCTGCCCTCGTACAAGCATATGAGGACGGTAATGCTTGACTTCATCTACTTGCGAATTCAAAAGCAAGTGAATCCTCTGACAACCTGTTGGGATGAATCTGGCTGTACATTCATAACGGACGGGTTATCTGACCGTCGAGAGCGCCCTGTCATGAACTTCTTGGCAGCGGGGGAGAAGGGTGCAGTTTTGGTGGCCACAGTGTCAATGACGGCAAGGAAGAAGACAGCGCAAGCGTTGGCAAAGTTGTGGGAGCAGATCATGAGGGAGATAGGGGTGCGTCGCATCAACGCAATCTGCACCGACAATGCCGAGGTGAACAAGAAGGCTGCTCAGATTCTGGAACGCCGGACTGACAAAGACATTGCAAGGATTCCATGGGTTCCTTGCGCTGCGCATTGTTGCAGCCTTTTGCTGCGAGACATCAGCAAGCTAGACTGGGTGACGGGCACTGTCAAGAGAGGCCACACGATTATTAAGTTCATCCGGAACCACCACTCGACGCACAGCCTGATGATGTCCATGGACGATTCCCTGGCATTGCTTCGTCCCACGGAAGTTCGGTTCGGGTCAGTGTACATGATGTTGGAGAGGCTGGTGAACAGGAAGGCAGTGTTGTCCGATATGGTGGATCGGAAAAATGCAGCACGGTGGACAGGGATCCGTTGGGCCACTGCAAAGTTAAAGTCGAAAGCGGACTTGGTTTACTTCACCATGAGGAGAGACGGCTGGTGGACGGAGTTGAAGAAGGTGGTCGATGTGATGGAACCATTGTACAACCTTCTCAGGAGGATGGATCATGATGGAACATCGCCAACAAACCTTGTGGAATACGACGACCTGATTGAAAGGAAACTGGCTCACGTGGTTCTCACTGACGAGCAGCGAGCGAGCGTCATGGAGAAAGCCAGAGATCGGGTGAAGATGATGCGGCATCCAGTACATGCACTGGCGTTTCTTATGGACCCGCGCAGGAGAAATCCACGGTGGCTCTATGATCGGGACAGTGCAACTGTGCAGAACGCGATGCTTTACCTGCAGAGACAGGTTGGAGGTGATTGGAAAGGGCCAGACCACCTTGAGGTTTTGGGTGACCTTCACGAGTTTCATAAGGAACCCACGCCGAACGGGCCCAGGAGAAAGGACAAGAAGATGTGGGAGCCCGATGCGAAGGTTGATTGTGAGAAGCTCACACCGTCAAAGTGGTGGGCGACTTATGGTGGCGATGTCCCCGACTTGCAGGCCATTGCCATCAAAGTGATGGGCATGCGGAGTACAGCAACCCCGGCGGAGAGGAATTGGGCATCCATGGACTTCGTGCATTCGAAAAGGAGGAACAGTTTCAAGCCCGAAACATTGGAGAAGCTGGTGTACATTCATTGGAACATGCAACTACTGCGTGCTGCCAAGAACAGCGGTGCCAACGGCGAGGGCTACGTCGATCTGTGGAGTTCGTTCTTCGAGGCTATTCCAGAGCCAGACGAGAACGATGGATCTGTCTTGAGGGGCCCCGAGGAAGAAACTGAGAAGACGGATGAGGAGCTGGTGCGGCAAAGTAGCTTCGTGAAGACACCGAAGGGAAGGATTCCAAAGAAGCGTGAGGACGAAGAGGACGAGTGCACCGACGACAGTGATTTGGATGATGAGTTGTGGAAGGGGAGGGGTGGATTGTCGGATGAGACAAGTGGCCCGGAGGAGAAGGAGGACGGAAGTGATTCCGATTTTGAGCTGGGAGCCCAACCATTGGTCCCGGGCACGACTTATGTTGGTAGGAGAGAACCTGCACGGCGTCGGAGGGAGAACCAGCCCGCGGTCTCCACGCAAGCCCGGGGGGAAAGCTCCTCCCGATACCATCCTCAGTTCGACGTTGAGTTCCATCACATGGACACGGACGTCGAGTTGCTGCTGCAAAGTGGTCCGGTTGATGAAGATGAGGCGGAGGCCGACCGTGCAAAGGCATTGGCAGATCGCGATAGAGATGCCATCCAAAAACGGATCATGAAAGAGGACGCGCAGCAATCCCAACCCGGAGGGAGATTGAGAGACGCAAAAAGAAGGCTGGGGAGAAGGAACCGGAGACACGTCGGCCATTGGACGCTGTGCAAGAGCGAGAAGAGGAAGAGCAACAACAAAGTGGACCGGTTTTGAAGGTGGCGGACCAGCAAGAGGCAGACCACCGCAAAGAGGCGGACCAGCAAGAGGCTGACCAGCAAGAGACGGAGCACCGCAAAGAGGTGGAGGAGAAGGACCAGCAAGAAGACAAGGGCGACATGGACCACGCACAAGAGCCGGAGATGGAGCACGGAGAAAAGGATGAGGGGATGGAGCATGAAGAGGACGAGGAGGGGATGGAGAGTCAAGGAGTGGAGGAGGCCATGGAACAGCAAGATGACGCGGAGGGCATGGATCGACAGGACCTGCAGCACAACGTGGATGACAAGGACGCCGAAGAGGAGCACCAACCTGCAGTGAAGACTGTGTACACGCGTAGGCCACGACCGGTTTTGTCCGCACAGTCTGTCGAGAACTCACCCGACTTCCCTCACAGCAATGAGGCTGTCCAACATGACAACCTGTGGGTGAGCAGGGTGGGGAGGAAGAGGAAGGAACCGGTGGAGGATGATGCTGCGAAGCCTAAGCGTGCTCGTGGCAGGCCCCGCAAGC